CGGTGTCGCCCTTCGCCTGCTCGGCCTTCCCTCCTCTGATTGCTCGCTTGCGCCTCCTCCGCCCCCCCCTCCCCTCCCTGTCTACGGCCCTGTGTTCCCTCCGTCGGACTCGTCCCTGGCTCGTTTTCCCCCTTGTTCCCCTCCTATTCCTCTTCCTGTGTCTCCTGACCCGACGCCCCCGTCCCACTTCTGGTCTCGCCGTCCCTCTCGTGCCCGTCCTATCTCTCCTGTTCAGCGCTCTTACCCTATGTTGCTTCGTTCTCAGACGTCTTGTCTTCCCCTTCTCCCGTCGCCTCCTCCGTCGTTGCTTGTTGTCACTCCACCTCCTCTGTCTGACTACCTTCATGCTGCTAGTCCTCTCATTCCTCGAGTCCTTGCATCCCTCGTTAACGACCTGACTGTTCCTGTCTCGAGTCTTGATGCTCTTGTCGAAACTGTCGCTGACTTTGCCTCTACCCGCCACCTTGACTACGCCACTACTCTGGTCTCTGACCCTGTCCGTTCTCGGTCCGTCGGGGGTGCTCCTGCCCTTGGCAGTTATGTCCAAAAGGACAGGCAGTCGGAGCTTGCTTTCCTGTCTGAGGCTGCTCCCCATCTCTGTTCCATGCTGCTAGTCCCTGACCCAGACGCCTTTGACATCCCGACCCCTCGCACCTACTCTGAGGCGACCTCGGGACCCTGGCCCTCTCAGTGGATAGCTGCCATGGAGCAGGAGATGGCATCTGGGAGATCCACCGGCACCTACATCGACGCAGTTCCCCCGCCTGGGGTGAACGTAGTCGATGGCCGGTGGCTCTTCAAGGTGAAGCCCCTCCCTGGAGAGCCGCCTGTGTTCAAGGCGCGTTATGTGGCTAGAGGGTGTGGAGTTCTTTTCGACCTTCATACGGAGTCCGAAGATGACTACTCTTTGTGCGCTGCTACACGTAGCAGCACTGCGTGAATACGAGCTCCACTCCCTCGACTTCTCCACCTTTTTTTTTTCACGACAGCCTACACGAGCAGGTCTACCTGCGTCGTCCACAGGGCTTTACCGATACCTTCCCTTCTGGGACCCACTGGCTCCTCCGACGCTCGGTCTACGGCCTGTGACAGGCGCCTCATGAGTGGCACGATACTCTGCGTGCTACGCTAGCTGACCTTAAGTTCTTCCTCGTCGTCTACAGACCCCTTGCTCTTCGTTCATGCTGGCCAGACCCCATTCCACATCCTTGTCTACGTAGATGACCTGGTCTTCGCTACTGCAGACAAAGACGCACTGGCCTCTGTGAAGGCCGAACTGCTGAGGCGACACACCTACACTGACCTTGGAGAGCTGCGCCGCTACCTTGGCCTGCAGATCTCCAGGGACAGAGAAGCGCGCACCATCACCCTCATACAGTTACACTTGGTGTGGCAGGTCCTTCAGAGGTTCGGCCTTCACGTCCTTCAGATAACTTGCACTCGTCCTGATCTCGCATAACCTCTCAGCATCATGGCTCGCTTTGTGGCATCATGCAGACACCAGCCACAGCACTGGTCGGCAGCTAAGAGGGTTTTGCGTTATCTACCAAGTATATCGGGCATGGGGCTCGTGCTGGGAGGATGCAGGCCAGTGGTCCTTACTGGGAATACAGACGCTTCGTGGGCAAACGACGCTGAGATACTCAGGTCCTCCCAAGGCTACTGTTTTAGCCTTGGTTCATGTGCCATTTCGTAGAGGTCCACTCGCTCTACGTCTGTTGCCCATTCTAGCTGTAAGGCTGAGATCTATGCCGGTGCCATGGCGGCATAGGAGCTCCGCTGGTTGTCCTTCATGCTCACAGACTTAGGTGAGCGACCTAGTTCTGCTTCGGTCATGTACGCTGAGAACAGGGCCATGATTCTCGTGTGTCAGGAGCCTCGACTTGAGGGAAGAGCAAAGCACATCCAGCTGCGATACTTCCTCCTGCGCGAGCTACAGCAGCGCCGCCAGACCCGCGTAGTACACTTGACCCCTGATGCCCAACACAGCTGATACCTTTACGAAGGCGCTTGCGCCTAAAGATCATCAGTTACACTGTTTGCAGCTTGGTGTAGTTCCTGTAGCTCTTCACTTGCTAGGACCTTTATTGTGTACTCCTCTTTATATATACCATCTTGACTGGCCTTGTGGCTTGTCTTCTTGTGGCCAGACTAGTAGTCCCGTTCTAGTTTGCTCTTGTCTTGTTTGTACTCTTGCTGACTGGTCTTCGGACCCCTACATCAGAGGTTGGACTAGTAGTGCCACTCTGAGCTACGCGTTCCTTGCTCAGCACTGCCCTTTATCTAGCCTAGGGGGTGTGTCAACTTGTACATATGTCTATATGTAGTAGTTATATACTAGATAGGTTTGTGTTCATAGAGGGTACAGCTCCAACCCTATAGCTCCCCTGTTGTCACTTGTTCTAGTCATACTGCTATTCTAGCAGACGCGAAGTGTCGAAGGGCGTAAATTGTGCTTCTGGATGGCACAAAGCGAGAATTATCGCTATTACCCGAACTCGTTCCTTCGTTTTTGCACCTTTTTTACGGAATAAAAGAGGGGCGTATAGGGTACACACTTTCGAAAAGTAGGGGGGCGTTTAATGAAATAATAGCTAGAAGGCCCAAAGCACGAGGTAAAGCCCATGAGACTTATCCTACAAAGGGGAGTTTGTCCAGGAGATTATGGTAGAACATTTTATGGAAACATTTTGATGATTCTATTGTCTATCTTAACCCCGTGAATGATAGGGGGTGCTGTAACCGATCCAATCCAGATATTGTTTTTGGAAGAACGTACTCTTGATATGGTTTTCTTCATCTTATGAGTTACTAGCCGAATTTCTCATTAGGCTGATAAATATTGTAGAAACGCCCCCCTAATGCTGTTTTATAGGTTCCCGTTCCGACCAATTTGAAACGGGGACAGGAATGAACGCCTTTGCGGCTGCGCGCCAATGCCCCTGAGCAGTGCGAAGGGTGAGTGGCCTGTTGGGGCAAGATTGGGGATGGGGTGGGGTGGAGTGGAGTGGGGGGGAGGAGCAGAAGAATGAAGCTCCCTCTCCTTCCCCAACCCTCCCACTCACGCGATTTGCCTGAACTGAACCACCAACCTGTGCTTTCTGGCGCGTTTGCCAGCTGAACGTGCGCGGCTGTGGGTTTTGCGCCGAACGCACGTTCAGCTCATGGATTGGCTGACCGCATCACCTACTTCGTAGGGTGGCATCAGTGTGGCGCTAGCTCTGTAGTGTTGCACTTGTTGGAATTTGGTGGAATTCAATGGGGAAATTTTTGCGGCAGATGGAGGCCAAAGTACGCATGAGGTTGTACTGTACTGTACTGTGAAGTTTCAACAGTTTGGGCAGCCTACTGAACAGATGGGGTTTCCGATTGAACATCCACGGCGCAGAATAGCTTTCCGCGCATTCTTTGCTCTTCCACGGCGTATAGCGTCCCCCAGGTCGTCGTGATTCTCCCGAGAACGTGGGTGGCGGTGTCCTCTGTATGTCCAGTTCGGTTCCGTGGCAGGGCTAATTTCTCGTTTTTCAAGACCCATGGTCTCAGGATTCGCGTCACTAAAGACCCTGAAAAAACAAAATCAGCATTCCATGGAAAATCTCACTTTATTTCAGGATTACTTTGATCTTTCATTATGAAATTCAGAGTGTTTTTTGGGACTCCATACATATTAGCGAAACCCGTGGGCCCTTTCGAGTACAAGCAGGAAGGACATCCATGGAAGAAACGATGGAGAAGAATACAGAGCACACACTTGCTGCTGCTGCAGTCCCACACCACCACACCAAGTTCGAAACTTTCCTTCGTCAATCGCGACAGAAATCCGTACAACTTAGAGGGACAGTGCGCAACCTGGCTAAGGTGATATTAAGGGGTTGTGATAAGTCTGACAGCCCTGCAATTCTGTAGTTGTGAAAGTTCCACGGGTCGCACCTTCAGATTGCAAGGAAAATTGGTCAGGGTTGCGAAGGAATTTGGGGGGGGGGGGGGGGGTAGGGTTGCACTTCCAGCACGGATGGTTTTCATGCCGGTCGGATAGCCTGGATAAAATTTCGTGCAATCCGGATTACTCAGGATTTTCTTAGAAATTCTTGGAATCAGTCAGGAGATTTTTGAGTCCGAAACCCTCAAAATCAGGATTTCAGTGGCAAAGACCCGGAAGGTACCTGACATTCCGGATGTTTACCCTTGAACCAGGAGCCCAATTCTGTGGTCCACCCTTGCACGCAGTCACCACGCGGAAAATCACGGGCAGCGCGTGGGGCAGAAAGAAAGGTGGTGTCACCACGGACGGCGTATGGTGTGGGGTGGGGAGGACACGCGGGATTTGGTTGTTCACCCGAACCGCGGACCGGACCTCCATCCATTTCACTGACGAGGAAACGGGGGTTTTACAGGCGGCATGTTGGGGGGCCGCGGGGTGAGGGTTCGTGCGGAGCACCCATGGCCTGGTGGAAGAAAAGCGGAGAAATCTTATGGGAAGCGGAGAAGAGCAAAGAATGCGCGGAGATCCCAAGGAATGCGGAGATCTGGGGGGTGAAGTGAGGGGGGGAGGACCAAGTATGTGGGAGGAAGCTGAAGGCGATGGACAGAAGCGAGAATCTGTGTGGCGCAGGATAGCTGACAGTAACAGCAACAAGTTCGTCAGGAACAGATAGGCGATCACCCAATCTCACACAAACATCCAGAACCCATACTAACCGTACAGTTCCTCAATAATCTTGCTTCTGTCAGCCAGACCGAGTTGTGCGAACGGAAGAAAAGCAGACGGAGGAGCAGTAGGCGATTGACGGCAACCTGGTAACTCGGTTAACGGAGAAATTCAAAGCCGGCAAACATGTCAGTTCTGTTTCCGAGATCCGCCGCTTTCCGTTCCGTCTGTTCCTTCTGCTCCTTCTGTTCCTTTCAAACCACCGAAGGGGCCTAGGCTAGCCTAGGGATCGCCCCACCAAGGTAACGTCGCAAGGGATATCTGTGGTTGGGTAGCCTGGTAGGTTATTATTGTTCTCCGCCTGAGTCTTGTAAGTGAGTATTTATAGGTGCTGATTTGTCAGCGCCATCAGTCGTTCCCATTTAGGCGCAGCGACCCCACCTCCTGCGGCTAGTGGTCCATCGCCATTCCGTTCATTCCGTCAGTTCCATATTTACACATTCCTAAGTCTTCCAGGATCTCTAACTCCAAATCCCATCGCACACAACTCTCACGTCACCGTTACCAACCGATACTGTAATTACGAATTTCGCTGACGCATCTCCAGTCATCCACAGTCTCCGGAGCTCACATTCCCGACGACCTACCGACTTTATCTACTGAAATTCTTTTTTCGTAACTTCTCACTATTTTCCGCGGATTCGTTATGGGCGCATCGTCTGACCCTTATATGGCGTACAGAGGAGGCAAGATCTACCGAGGAGGCGACAAGCTGCAGGATCCTTACTCCGTCAGATATGACGGAATCGACCGGATCTTAACCGGCCGGCCGCTTTCCGACGATGGCGAAAACGACAGCAGTAGCGACTCCAGCAGCCCGAAGAAGCTTCGCCGAAGGACCCTGGCGTCCGACGTGCTCCCGCTCCCGCTCTGGCTGACCAACATCGTCTTCCTGCTAACGTTTATTTTCTCCTGCTGCTACCTCCTTCAGCAATGGCGGGAGCAGCTTTACTCGTCTGAGAAGCTTCACGAATTGTTATGGCGCGACCTGGTCGCGGTTTGCCTCGGTATGGGCTCCTTCATTTATCTTATAAACTTCTTCGGGGTTGGATATGTACAGTCGGCCATCGAGCAGAGTATGATTTCCGAGGAAGATGTGAAGGAAAGAGAGGAAGAGGAGGAGGAAGAGGAGGAGGGGGAGGAGGAGGAGGAGGAAGAGGAGGATCCGAAGAAGCTGCTTTTCCGCCAGGGGCGCACCGGTCCGCGCAGACACTACGTTCCGCCTCCCCCGGAGCCTCGGTATAACCCGGTCCCGAGCCCATCTCCTCCCGCTACAACCACATCGGCTACAAGCACGCCCGCTCCCACGGCACCGAAGTCCTGCGGCGTCAAGCTACAAGACGTCCCGCTACAAGACCTCCCGGACGACGATATCGCGCACGCCGTCGCGCGCGGCGCCATTCCCATGCACTCCCTCGAGGCGCAACTCGGCAACACCCTCCGCGCCGCCGCGGTCCGGCGCCGCGCCGTGGAGATTAAAACCGGCCGGTCCCTATCCGGCCTCCCCCTCGAGAACTACGACTACGACGCGATCCGCGGCGCGTGCTGCGAGATGGTGATCGGGCACGTGGCGGTGCCGGTGGGCGTAGCGGGGCCGCTGCGGCTGGACGGGGCAGACGTGTTTGTCCCCATGGCCACCACCGAGGGCTGCCTCATCGCCAGCACCAACCGCGGCTGCAAGGCCCTCTGCGCCGCCGGCGGAGCGCGCAGCGTGGTGCTGCGCGACGGCATGACGCGCGCGCCCGCCGTGCAGCTGCCGTCGGCGCTGCGCGCGGCGGAGCTGAAAGCGTTTGCGGAGAGTCCGGAGAACTGGGACATGCTGGCGGACGCGTTCAACAGCAGCAGCAGGTACTGTTCTCGGGTTACATTTCAGCGCCGTACGCGCTACTGAGTCGTAACTAATCAGGTTTTCCACTACCGCATTTTCCATCCCCTGCGTTCCCCATCTCCCCCCTCCATCTTTTTCTCCGCCTCTATTTGCTCCGCCCCTTCAGCGCAGACTTCCGACATCCGCGCGCATCGCCTTTGTTCACGTTTTCACTTCTCCCTGCCCCTTTCCCCTCCCGCCACTCCCCCAGGTTCGCGCGGCTGCAGAGCATCAGCGTGGCAGTCGCGGGGCGCACGGCGTTCGTGCGCGTGGAGAGCAGCACGGGCGACGCGATGGGGATGAACATGGTGTCCAAGGGCACGCGCAACGTGCTCGGCGCGCTGCTGGGCGCGTTCCCGGACCTGCGCGTGGTGAGCATGTCGGGCAACTACTGCGCCGACAAGAAGGCCACTGCCGTCAACTGGATCCACGGCAGGGGGAAATCCGTCGTCTGCGAAGCCACCATCCCGGGCCACGTGGTACGTTGCTCCTCCTCAACCCCTGCCCTCCCCCTTGCCCTCCCCCCTGCCTTCCCCCCTGCCCTCCCGCCTGCACTCCTCCCCTCCTGTTCTCCTTATCCCTCTGCTTCTCCCGCTCACCCTCCCCCTGTCTCCCCTCCCCTGTCAACACGGCCAACACTCTGGTGGGGTCGGCCATGACGCAACACCATCTGGTGCTGTCCCTTGCTTGCTCCGGTACTGTCCCTCTCTGCACGTCCAGAGAGTGGTCAAGACAACGGTAGCAGCGCTGGTCGAGTTCACCACGGCCAAGAGCCTGGTGGTGTTGGCCATCGTTAAACCCTCATCCTCCTCGCTTTCTTCCCTCCTCTTCCTCTCCCTGCAGGTGCGGTCGGTGCTCAAGACGTCAGTGGAGGCCCTGGTGGAGCCGAGCACGACCAAGAACCTGGTGGGGTCTTCCATGGCTCAACCACTGCCTCCCTGCATTCTTCCCTCCATCCCCCCCTCCTCTCCCTGCAGGTGCGGTCGGTGCTCAAGACGTCAGTGGAGGCCCTGGTCGAGCTGAACACGACCAAGAACCTGGTGGGGTCGGCGATGGCGGGCGCGGTGGGCGGGAGCAACGCGCACGCGGCCAACATGGTGGCGGCGGTGTTCCTGGCCACGGGGCAGGACCCCGCACAGGTCGTCGAGAGTTCTCAGTGCCTCACGCTGCTGGAGCCTGCCAATGGCGGCGCCGACCTGCACGCCTCTGTCACCATGCCCTGCATCGAGGTCGGCACTGTGGGGGGAGGAACCTTCCTAGCGCCGCAGGCGGCAGCGCTGTCCCTACTGGGAGTGAGGGGCGCACACTCGTCGCAGCCGGGGGCGAATGCGCAGCAGCTGGCGCGGGTGGTGGCGGCAGCAGTGCTGGCGGGGGAGCTCTCCCTCTGCTCCGCCCTCGCCTCAGGCGACCTGGTCAACGCCCACCTCAAGTACAACCGCTCCACTGTTAATGCCGCCTCCGCCTCAGCTGCTGCAGCTGGTGCTGCTGTTGCCGGTGCAAAGGAGTCCAGTGCTGTGAAGGAGGGTGCTCCGGAGGGCCTTTGCATGGTCAGCAAATGCTGAGCTGTGGCTAGCGGCTTCAGGGGTACAATAGCTTTCTGTAGCCACCAAGGCTACAGATGCCTGGTTCTTAGTGCCTGGTGCCTGAGTAGCCTAGCTAGAGCCGCCGTGTGGGATTGCTGACTGTCGCTGCTGCCGCTGCTGGTGCTGTTGCTCTCTGCTGCTGCTGCTTTGCTTGCAGTAGTCTCTCCCTCTGCTGCTTGCTGTGCTGCAGTCAGCTATCCCACAAGGCGGACTAGGGGTGGGCGCATGCCTGTTTGTGTGCCCTGGACTGGTTTGATTTCTTATTGGTTTGGTTTGGTTTGGTTTGGTTTGTGCTGTGTCGTTGCTTGGTTGCTCTTGCTCCCATCTGAACTGTCATGCATCTCCTGGATTGAATCGGTCAAAATCTTGCTGACCATATCTTGTTACATGACTAAAAAGTTAGAGCATGTGCTTACCAGCCTCTTCCCAGGCTCTCCTCTCTCGACCCCAATCTCGCGTCACACCCAGGGCTGACGTTATAAAAAAAAAACTCCCTGAGTTGTCGAATGGGATTTTCTTTTTACCCTGAGGTGTAAGCTTATACATACATTGTTATGTAGAAGTTTATAGGCTATATAGGGTATGTTCTTAGTGGGTACTTTCAACTTATACATATTAGCTATATAGAAGTTATAGGCTAGACTGTGGTATGCTTCTAGTGAGTACAACCAACTAGTATTTGTTCTAGGTTTCCACTTCTAGTCCATTATTCAGTTCTTACTTTAAGAGGTACAACCCAAACGCTATATCTCCACTGTTCTCCCTTCTTCCATTCATTCTTTCTAGTCTTAACATGGTATCACGAGTAGGCAGGTCCACCCACCCGCTTCCGCGCCGTGCTGCCACCTACCGGACCCTCGCGCCCCTAGCTGGCCCCGCGCGCCCCTACGGCCCCGTCGCGCCCCTATCAGGTCCCGTCGCGTCCTTACGGCCCCGTCGCGCCCCTACGGCCCCGTCACGCCCCTAGCAGGCCCCGTCGCGCCCCTAGCAGGCCCCGTCGCACTCCTAAGGCCCCGTCGCGCCCCTACGGCCCCGTCGCGCCCCTAGCCGGCCCTGTCGCGCCCCTTCCGGCCCCGTCGCTCTCCTACGGCCCTGTCACGCCCCTAGCCGGCCCCGTCGCGCCCCTACCGACCCCTTGCGCCCCTAGCCGGCCCCGCGCGCCACTACGGCCCCTCGCGCCCCTAGCTGGCCCCGTCGCGCCTCTACCGGCCCCTCGCGCCCCCAGCTGGCCCCGTCGCGCCCCTACAAGCCCCTCACGCCCCTAGCCGGCCCTTCGCGCCCCTACGGCCCCTCCTGCTCCTACCGCCCCCCCCGTCCCTAGCCGCCCCACGTGCCCTTGCCGGCCCCACGCGCCCTAGCCGGCCCCTTGCGCCCTAGCCGGCCTCGTCGCCTGAGCCGCCGAGCCGCTGAGCACCCGCACTGCCGAGCCGCCGAGCCGCCGTGCCGACGTGTCCCCGAGCCGCCGCGCCGTTGAGCCGCCGAGTTGCTGTGCCACTGAGCCACTGTGCCGCTGTCACACTGTGCGATGGCGGACGCCGTTCTTCACTTGGACGCTGAGGGGTACGAGATCGACTTCGCCGCCTGGCTCGTCGACCTCCGCCGGCACCTGACAGGTCAGCGCCAGGATGGGCACTCCCTGGCTATGTATGTTGATGGTTTGCTTCTCCGCCCCCCTGCGCCTGATCCCCTCCCTGCTGACCCTACCACTGCTCAGAGTGAGGCTTTTGCTGCTGCGCTTGCTCGAGCTGTCTGGGATTCTCGTGACGCAGTAGCCCAGCTTGCCATTAGCCATGCCCTCCCCCTGTCTGAGCGTCCGCGCTTTACCGCTGTCGCGAACGCCAAGGACTTTCTCCCTGCAATAGTTGAGCGTTACTCCACACCTGCTTCCGCCTCTGCTGGCCACTTGATCCTACCCATGCTCTTCCCTGATCTACCACTCACCCTCGTGCACTATAGGCTAGCTACCGCGCTGCTAGCTCTACTGCCTTCCCCCCACCTTTCTGCCCTACCCTGTACCTCATCGCCATGCGCCTGCCTGACCGCTTAGCCACTGCTCGCGACCACTTCCTTAGTCAGCACCCTGCCGACCTCACCCTGACCGCCTTTGTCACTACGCTGTCTAAGATAGAGATTCGCCAGCGCAATATTGCTCAGTCGAGCGGTGTTGCGGCAGTCCCTATCTTTCAGGGCTGTGCTCCCTCCCAGTGCACGTACGCTGACGTCTCCGCCACAGTTGTCACGACTACGCCGACACCTGAGACAACAGCTGCGGCTACCTCGCAACAGCGCCAGCGCTGGGGCCGCCGTGGCCCCAAGGGAGGACGTGGAGGTGGCGCTAGTGGTGGTGGTGGCGGGGACAGTGGGTTGGTGCTGGTGCCCAGGAGCAGCAGCAGTCGCCGCAGTCACAACCGCTACAGCAGCAGTAGTCGTTACAGCAGCAGCAGCAGTAGCCGCAGCAGCTGCAGCAGCCATGGGCTCGTCTACCGCTCGGGTGGCCAGGAGCCCCTGGCGGTGGTGGTCGTGGTGGTGGCCCTTGCAGCTCGGTGTCCACCGGTAGCTTCGGTGCTGTGAGCTGCCAGTACCAACTTCAGACAGGGCCCCTGCGTGGCACGGTGTGCCACCGCTCGCATCCCACCGCCCGCTGCTTCCGCCGCCTTGACGACCTCTTCCGTCGCCGCTTTGGTCCTGCCCCGGACCTCCCTGACTGGCCCAGCATGCTGCGCCACGGTGTGCCTGTGTTTGACTTAGACATGGATCAAATTAGTTCTGCCTTGCATTCTCTGTATGCTGACGCTTTGAGTGTTTCCGGACCGTATTACTCTGTGTTCTCTAGCTTAGGCGTAGCACCTGTGTGTAGTCCAGAATCCTCTGCTGCGTCAGGCGTTGCACAGCTTGCTTTGTCTAGCCTAGGCTCTACCCTTGCTCCTCCGTCGTCGGCCACTACGGCGTCGCTCTCCTTCACTCTAGACTCGAGTGCGTCAGCCTGCTTCTTCCGCGACCATGCCGCCCTCACGCCGCTTGCTGCGCTTGCCGTTGTCGCCCTTGCGGACCCCTCCTCTGGTCCTATAGTTGCTCGCATCTACACTGCCCTTCCCTGTCCGGCGGTTCCCTCGGGTTCCCTTACAGGCCTGCTCATCCCTTCATTCTCCAGGAACTTAGTTGGTGTCGGCTGCCTTCAGGACCTCGGCATCACCACTACGTTTCCTAGTCACGAGCGGTACGTTTTCGAGGCCGCCTCAGGTGCCCCCCTTGCGACGTTCCCCCGGGACCCTGTGTCTGGCCTCTTTACGCTGGACACTGCTCCCCCCCTGGCGGGCGAGTCCTCTTCCGGTTCTGCGTCCACCCTGGTAGCTGCGGCCTGCTCGTGTCGGTCGCTCACTCACCCGTCAGTGTTGTGGCACCACCGCCTAGGCCACCTTGCGCTCCCCCGCCTGCGTCACATGTCTCAGTGTAGTCTAGTCCTCGGCCTCCCTGCGTCGCTCCCTGCTCTCCCTCCCTTGCCTGCACCGCTGTGCACGCCCTACGTCGAGGGCCGGCTGTGCCGTGCTCCCTCACTCCTCCTCACTTCGCCCTGCCACCGCACCCCTCAAGACCTTGCACTTGGACGACTGGGGCCCAGCCCCTCTCCCCGGACCGCGTCGCAAGCGCTACTTTCTGGTGCTCGTTGGCGACTTCACGCGCTACTCCACGGTGTTTCCCTTGGAGCGGAAGGCCGACATGCCTGACGTTCTTAAAACGTGGCTCGTCGCTGCGCGCCTCCACAGTGGTCTCCCTGTGCCGTGTCTCCCACCGTTCTGGGGGTGCTAGCGTGGAGTGTACCGGAGGTAGCAGTGGTGCAGCTCGTGGTCCAGGTGTCGGCGTTCAGCAGTAGCAGCATCAGTCGCGGCTGGTGTCCGCCCTTCACCTGCTCGACCTTCCCTCCCCTGACCGCTCGCCTGTGTCTCCCTCGCCGTCTCCCCCTCTTCTTGTTCACGGTCCTGTGGTTCCACCGCCGGACTCGTCCCCAGCTCGCTTCCCCGCTCGTTCCCCTCCTGTTACTCCTCCTCTATCTCCTGACCCGATGCCTCCGTCTCACGTCTGGTCTCGCCGTCCCTCTCGTGCTCGTCCTGTCTCTCCTGTTCAGCATTCTCACCCTATGTTGCTTCGTTCCCATGCGTCTCATCCTCCCCGTTTGCCTTCGCCTCCTCCGTCGTCGCTCACTGTCGTGCCTCCCCCTCTGTCTGACTACCTTCGTGCTGCTCATCCTCTTGTTCCTCGGGTCCTTGCCTCCCTTGTTACCGACCCGTCTGTTCCGGTCTCCAGTCTTGACGCTCTTGTCGCTGCTGTCACTGACTTTGCCTCTACTCGCCGCCTTGACTACGCTACCGCTCAGGTCTCTCACCCAGTCTGTCCTCCGTCCGTCGGGGGTGCTCCTGCCCTCGGCGGTGACGTCTTGGAGGACCGGCAGTACGAGCTTGCTAACCTGTCAGAGGCTGCTCCCCATCTCTGTTCGATGCTGCTAGTCCCTGAGGGTGACCCCGACGCCTTTGACATCCCGACCCCTCGCACCTACGCTGAGGCGACGTCGGGACCCTGGGCCTCTCAGTGGATAGTTGCCATGGAGCAGGAGATGGCATCTTGGAGGGCTACCGGCACCTACGTCGACGCAGTTCCCCCACCTGGGGTGAACGTAGTCGATGGCCGCTGGCTCTTCAAGGTAAAGTGCCCCCCTGGAGAGCCACCTGTGTTCAAGGCAGACTACATGGCTAGAGGCTTCAATCAGCGAGAGGGGGTGGACTTCTTTCAGACCTTCGCCTCGACCCCGAAGATGACTACTCTTCAGGCGCTGCTACACGTAGCAGCACAGCGTGACTATGAGCTTCACTCCCTCGACTTCTCCACTGCTTTCCTTCAGGGCAGCCTACATGAGCAGGTCCACCTACGCCGCCCTCAGAGTTTCACGGGTTCCTTCCCTCCTGGTACCCAGTGGCTCCTCCGGCGCCCTGTCTACGGCTTGCGACAAGCGCCCCGTGAGTGGCACGACATGCTGCGTGCCACGCTAGCTGACCTGCAGTTCTTTCCGTCCTCTGCTGACCCTTCGCTCTTCGTTCGTGCTGGCCAGACTCTGTTCTACATCCTGGTCTTTGCTACAGCAGACAGAGATGCTCTGGCCTCCGTGAAGGCTGAGTTGCTAAGGCGACACACCTGCACTGACCTGGGAGAGCTGCGCCGCTACCTTGGCCTGCAGATCTCTTGGGACAAAGCAGCGCACACCATCACTCTTACACAGTCACACTTGGTGCGCCAGGTCCTTCAGAGGTTCGGTCTTCAGTTCTCCTCTGCACAGCCCACACCTCTGCCAATAGACCGCATGCTCTCAGCTCCAGTTCCCGAGGAGTCAGCAGAGCCCAGTGGTCCTTCCGCAGAGCTGGTGGGTTGCCTCATGTA